GTTCTAGTTCTTGTCATAGATCATGTCCACATCACATCTCGTGTCCATTATGATAATATTATTAGGGTCAATTCTCATATTCAAAGTATTGTTCACTTTAAAACTCTCGTTCGTCACAATTTTATCCTCGATGGGTTAAGAAAAGATGATATATATAAACTATAAAGGACTAAAGGGTATGTATGAGTAGAACGAGACTCAACTTTTGACCCCACAGTCGATGTTGATGTTCTGTCTAGTAACGAGAGTATTCCGACCTCATAAATAATCCGTCTGGGAACAAGTATATTCCGACTCACATCCGAGGTATTGTCCGTTTTGGAGTTCTCGTCCATCACAATTTTGTCTTTAAATAGCGTGTACGAGTTAAGGAAAAAATGTGTATATAAACTACCCTTAATCTCGATTCCTAAACGATATGAGACTCATGAGTATACCGGAACATAACCCCCAATTGATAAGTAAGGGGTATGGGAGTGGAGTAAGACTCAACTCTTGATCTCACGGTGGGTGTCAATATTTGGTCTAAGAACGAGAGTGTCCCAACATTATGTCCGCATTATGGTCAATTCCTATATTCGAGATATTATCTCGCTTTGAAACTTTTATTCATTATAATTTTGTCCTTAAAAATTATATCATTGAATTAAAAAAGAAAAAAATATATAAACATTCTTACTAGAACAATTCCTAAAACATGTAGATCCGTTGGCAGAACAATTTTCATACATTAACTATTAAAAATTTATCAATACTCTTGTAAGATGTACATAACTACTAAATAAAAAATACATATTTTTAAATTATTCATAGTATAATTTCATCTTTCTCTCTTTGTCTCTCTCTATATTCTCTCTACGATCCCAAATGTCAAGTTGATCCAATGCGGAAGCATAAATAGGTAGGGTTATTCAACGTTTTTGTCATTATCATGAAATGACTTAAATTCACTATTTTTGTTTTTCTCTGTCATCATGAAGCATAATTCATATAGATATGCACAACTATCGTTACCACTTAAGGATATAAAATTCAAACCCTTCCGCAAATTAAACAAGAGAAATCATATCATATTTGATCATCAAATTTTATAACGTGTAATTCTAGAAGTAGGGATTGATAATCAATAATGAATGTTATTTAAGCTTTTACTGACATTCACTTTATTAAATTTAAATAAATATATTATTAATAAATAATAAAGAAATATAAAAATATAAAAAAATTAAATTTATAAATATAATTAAGTATGAGAGATAAAATTATAAATTTAAATATAAATTATAAAATTTTGAGGCTTGTTATTCATCGCCTTTCAAGAAAATCTACCTAGAAATAATGGATTGAATTCATTAAATTTTTAAATTAATTATTTTTTTTTTCAGTTTGGTTTTATTATTATTTTTTTAAATGTTGAAGTAGGTCGAGATTGAGTTTGGAGAGAGATGTATTTCATTTAATATATATATGAATTAATTCATATAAATCAATTAAAATTATATATAACTCACATTCAAATAAACTAAAATATGATTTGATTCGCAAAATGAATTTTGAAAATGAACAAAGATAGTCCAAAATGAGTTGTTGAATTGATTTTATTTTGTAATCTTTGTTTAGCTCCCTATATACATTTGAATATATACTATACGGATTTTGACCATAAATATTGAGGGACTAAATAATATATTATTAATAATAAATAATAAATAAATATAAAAAGAAGAAAAAATATAAAAGGGTGAAAAGATAAAATTGTAGATATATACTTAAATATATTAAATTGTCATTAAGTTTGAGAGAAATAAAATCATAAATTATATGAGAGTTACAAAATTGAGGAGGGACTGAGAGGATAAAATTGTAAATATATTAAATGTTCATTATGTTTAGGGGACCAAAATCATCAATTACATTAAAATTACAAAACTTTTGGAGATGTCATCACCCATCATCCGAGGAAGATCCCACTGCATTTGATCATAAGTTTGATGAGAAGAGAAATAGTGATTTGCATGGCACGAGGAACACGAATGAAAATATATAAATTGGAGGAGGCCTCTTGGGAGATTAAAGGGGCGCATGCCCACGTGAATTCCTCTAATCAATTTTCAGAATGAAAGCAGACAAATTTATTATTCCATCAATTCTAACGCTCATCACATTCTTTCTACAATCTTTTATTCATCGTATCTGCAACTCAATAACCTAAATTAATCACACTTTTTCATTGCTTCCTTTCAATTAATCTAACTATAATAACTCATTCCTCATTAATTCAAAAAATGTGTCATCATAGGACTATTATTTTATAACTGTCAACTAAAATAATGCTTCAGACATTCAAAATGTAAACCCTCAACTTCATTGGCATGCCGGGTTTTTTTTTTCTCTCTTTTGACTAACTGATATTTATTAATCTCATTTTCCTCCATTTTCCTCATTTAAATATGTCTTGTAAGGTAATAAATATAAAGACAGGTATAAATATGAATCTGTATTTTATTCTACTCTTTCAACTTGAATTCGTTGAAGTCAGATGTTTGATAAATTAACATGTTAGACCTTCTTTTCTTTTCTTTTCTCAGTGAAGTTTAGAGCTTTTCGTTCATTTCCTAGAGTTTTTATAAATTATAATAAATTAGAACTTTAAATCAATCAATTATACTTTATATTAAATATTATTAATTACTTTATGATTTTTAGGTGAATACTTTCATCTCAACATGCATATATAACTATACAGAAAATTATTTTACATACTTCATCTCTATAAATGTTTATGTTTCCAAAATTAGTTATAATGTCTCATTAATATGTCTTAAAATTGATGAAATCTATATTTTTCAAATATATAAAATATAAACAATTTCATTAAATAAATTTAGCTTAATATATAAATAAAAATATTTAAAACACAAGTAAATTTTGAAATCAATTTCATAAATAATAAATTTTAAAAAATTACTTAAATAAAATTTCTCTATATTTACCCAACTAAATTTTGTTTACTGTTCATACAAGGGAAAACAAATTCGTGTAACATAATATATTTATTTTTCTTTATTTCTTCATTTCTTTATTTATTTTCTTATTTCTCTCTTCAGTTACTTACTATTATTATTTTTTTCTTTGTGTTCATTTAGGATTTTTTTCCCTCTTTTTTCTTTTGTTCTTCTCTCATTTTATCTTATTCTTCAATTAAAAATAGTATATTGAAATTTGATAAAGTGAATATTTTATTATTATTCAAAAATAAAAATATTTAAATGAGGAAATATTATAATTTAATATATTATATTTAAAAATTATTTTATAATAAATTTTAAATATTACATATATTATTGTTATCTTATAATTATTAAGAAAAGAATAAATGTTTATTTTAAATCAATTTTTTAATAAGTAATTTTTTTAAATTACCTAATCTAACTAATTATCATAATTAAATCTAATCAGATTAAATTATTAAATAAAAATACATTTAACTTATAAATATTTAATATTTTTATTAGGTGAATAATTATTTATTATGATAAAATAATTTTAAATTAATTATTTACTATTAAAATAAATAAAATTATTTATTGTCATCATAATTTTAAATAATTAGTTACTATTTTTTTTATTGTTGATTTTAAAATATCTATTTTAATATATTTTTATTAAATTTTAATTCAGTAATTTAATTAAAAGAATAAGTGAGAGAGAAGAGAGAGAAATAAGAGGGTAAGATAAAAAAAATGAAAAATAAGAAATGAATGAAAAAGGAGAAAAAAATTATAAAAAAAATAAAAAATTGCATATCAATATTAAACTGGTCCATTTAAGTAAATAAATTGATAAATATATTTGAGTAATTTTTTTAAAATATATTATTTATAGGATTCATTTTAAGCTTTGAGTAATTATTTACAGTTTTTAAAATTTAATATATATATATATATATATATATATATATATATATATTAAAACGATTGGATTTACGAATTTCTCAATTTTATAGAAGAAAATATTAGAGTAATGTAAAACGTTTATGTATTTGGATATATATCGTTACTGTTATTTTTTATTCTTGATTTATTATTAATTACTATTTTAAAAACAATATAGATGAATAATTGTTTATTTAAAAAGCAACTAAATTATATGCGAGATATTATGAAAGAGAAAAAAAAAATCATCATGTGCAGATTTTAACGTACTTGTAGTGTTATCTTTTAACTGAAAATTGAGTTTTATTTCAAAAATTTGTATGATAAATATTTACATTAATCTAGGATAGGTTTTTTAAGTATAGTGCATTTAATTAGAGAATAGGATTAGAATAGTCTAAAGAAACTGCATGTTAAGTTTTGATATAAATGAAATATGCGATCAGATTGGAATCATGTGGAAGACATAACTTTGTTTTGTGTTTTTTTCTTTGTTCAAGATTACTTTTAAAGTAAAAAGACACTTGTAAGAAAAATAAATTATAACCACTGACTGCAAGTCTAGTCACTGCAAATTTTGTGGCGCACCGATCCAGAATTGAATTCACCTATGGAGTTATCCAAATGCACGTTCTACTGCTGCAATGATGTTATATTTTATAGCCTAATTAAGGATCACATAATATATACGCAAGAATAACAAATTTAGAAGCAAATTAACCCAAAAGCTCGGTGAAAATATACAAGTATCTCTAATTTAATCAAATGCACTTAACGAATTTTGAAATATGATTAGGTTGTCGATTTTTACAGTGATATAGTATAAAAATATTTTCAAAACTCTCATCTATTAAAATCTCGTGTAATTTTGTAGTTTATGTCAGATGATCTTCTGATGTTTATGAAAGAATTAAGTAACAAGAACGAACCAAAGTGAATATCATAATATGGCGAAACTTGGGGTATATATCACGACATTGATTATGGTGTTACAATTTTGGCAAAGATTAAAAGACAACAACAACAACAACCGTAGTTTGGAATATTGATTCATCAAGATATTTGTTAAGAACGATGAAGAGGAAGAGGGTGGTGTTGTTGGGTTCCTTGATCACGAACCTTTACGCGAAGGCCGAAACTAAAAGTGGCAGTGAGGCCAGGCGAGAAACGCGGGATGCGATGATGTGGTGCCACTAGTTCGATGTGGAACCTCCGAAGCAACGAAATGGCGACACTCTTGAGTTCCAACAAAGCCATTTCTTTGCCCAAACACACCCTCATCCCCCCTTGAAAAACCGGGTACTTGAATTGATTCTGAGGGCAAAACACCCCATTTTTCAACCACCTTTCTGGCCTAAACTCTAAGCAATCCCAACCCCATATTTCCTCCAAACGACCCATCGCGTAAGGATGGTAAGTAACCCTAGTTCCTCTCTTCACAAAAGTCCCATCAGGTAACACATCATCCTCCAAACAAAACTTTGAATCGAATTGAATTGGAGGGTACAGTCTCATGCTCTCATACGCCGCCGCTTGTAAATAGTGCAGTTGTTGAAGCTCCTCGAAGCTTGAAATATCTTTGTTCTTGTCTGCTCCAATTACTTCCTCTGCTTCTGCAACAATCTTGGACTCCACTTCGGGGTGTTTTGCCAATAGCCAGAAGAAGCTGGTGAGAGCCGAAGCCACTGTGTCACGGCCAGCTAGTAAGAAACACACGATAATATCTTTCAAGTATGTGTCATCGTTGACACTACTCATGAACCGTGACAACAAGTCCTTGTGAGACGAAAACCCCATTTTTCTTCTTTGTCTTATGACCTCTTTGGCTAAGATGTTGATCATTCTAACCGCTTCTTGTAGCTTCTTCTCCGTGCCTACGTTGAGGAACCTTTTCATCTTCCAAATTAGAGGAGACACCGACATGGCTCTCTCCGCGGACAACTTTGACGCCATGTCAAATGAAACAGCGAAGTCCGACATAGGCAAAGACAGTTCCAGACACATAGGGTCCAACCCGAAGGAGAATTTACAAATGCTGTCGAACGAGAATCTCTTGAAAACATCCTGCAAATCCAAAACAGCGTCGTTTTGTTTCGAGAGAACGAGGATAGGGACGAGTCGGTGTTGGATTTCGAATTTGACAACCTCGAAAGCGAAGGATTGTATGGAGGTCTTGCTGAGTTCCAAACTGGCCATCTTCTTCTGGAAGCTCCAGGACTCTCCGTCGACGTTGAAGATTCCTCGGCCGAGGAAATCGCCGAGGATGGTGGAGAATGTTTTCCCCTTAGGGAAATTGTCGAACCTGGTCTTGAGGACGTACTCGACGTTGTCGGGGTTGGCGGTGATGGTGTTTCGGAGGACGTGGATGTGGATGGTTTTGGTGGGCGAGTTTCGGAGGAGATGAGCATACCAATCGCAAAGGTTGTGAAAGCTTTTGGACCAGCTTGAAGTGAGATAGGCCTCGCAAGTTTCGCAGTTACAGAAGAACATGTTTATTCTGGGCCAGCGAAAGGAGAACGATGGCAAAAGAGTGAGAGTGACGAAGGTGATTATGGCCACTGAGAGACACAGTGTGCCAAAGGAGACGCCAGAGAAGAGCTGCATCAGAGAGCACAGTGTAAAAGGTTGAAGCTCCATTGATGGATAGAGATTAAACACAGGGCAGTGAGATGGAAGTTATACTACCATGTGTCTATAGTTTTCTAAAAATATATTTTACTTTGAAATAAATACAATTTACAACTCATAATTTGAAAAAATTAATTAGATAACTAATAATATTTAACATATAATTATAAATTAAATATATTTAAGAAATTAAACATGCTTTAAGTCCATGTAAATATTTTTCTTCCCTATTTTTTTTATAAATTTGTTTTGTTATTTTTAAATATGTAACGTTGTTTTTCTATTTTAAATCTTTTGTTGCATAATAATATTTACATAATATTATTAATTTTTTTTAAATATATGCTTATTATTTTATATAAAAATATTAATGTCAAAATATATGAATATGTTATGAATACAACTATTTAATATTAGTTTTGAATTGTGTAAGGATTAAAATTAATTATTATTTTTTTAAAACGTGATTTTAATATATTATAATTAATAAAATATAAAATATATTTTGTTATTTTTAACTTTAGAGATAAAATATTTTTTTATAACATAAAAAACTATTTTTTAATCACTTAAAATTAATATATAGAAGATAAGTAATAAGTTCCAGAGTAAGTTATAATTATTTTTATTAAAAATACAATGTTAAAAAGAAAATTATTAAATAATATATATATATATATATATATATATATATATATACATATATAATTACTTAAATAATTATGTATAAAAAATTATAATTATAATTATTTTAATTTTAATTTATTACAATATTTGATATTTTCATCTTTAAATGTAAACTAACTATAGTTTATAATAATAATAAAAAAAACACTGTTAAAAAATATGAAACACTTAAAACTAACAAATATTATTATAAAGATTAAAATAAAATATTTACACCAATTAAAAATACATTTAAATCAATAAGAAAAATCGAAACACTTTTAAGATGTTGTATATCTTATGGTAGTTTTTGATTTTATATTTTATAGTTACTTTCAATAAAGTTATTAATTGTGAACTAAAAGTATCTTTAGCTGCAATAACACTGCTTTAATTGGCAATAGAAATAGCCACCAAAAGTTTTACAGCATTTAAACCATCATTGCTGTATCTAATATAGGCAGAAATAATAGGAAAAAATCCATCTAATAATTTATTTTAATATTATAATAATAATAATAATAATAATAATAAATTATTATATTATTAAATTAAGTTATACATTAGTTGTTTGAATGAACTGGAATGTGTAAATACTTGAAATTATGTGTTTTTGCTCAATTGGCAATTATTAATATGATCATACAGTCCCGCAGAATTGCAGCCACCCACAGTCTGAAAAACATTGGAATAAACAAAACACAATTTGTGAAACAATTTAATTAACAAAAGGACATGTAGTATTGTTTTAACAGGAACAAAACATGTAACAACTAACTAGCTAGACAACAACATTATATATGAAGCATGAGTTCCTTCATGGGAGGAGCTAGTAAAGAATCTGTTGAAGATCATTCATGGTTCGCAACTTGTTGTACACTGCATTCCATCCAGCTTGTGTAGGGTGGACAAGGTCCCAAAAGAAAGCAGATTTGGGGTCATCACAAACCCTATATTTCTTGACATCGTTCTCCACACTCCCACACGAGTAGTTACTGCTCGCACCAACACAACATGGGTACAACTTGTTCCGAATGTTGTGTGTGGAAGGGTGGTTCAACACTGACATGAAGCTGTCAAAAAGGTTAAGAATTACGAAGGTGGAACGGTCCCTTGTTTGTTGGTTCAGTTTGGTCACTGCTTGGTTCAAGAGGGTGTTGTGGAGAAGCACGAAGGCGTTGGAGGTTTCATTGCAACGTTGGAATGAGGTCGAGGCTGTGATCTGTGGAAGGCATCCAAGGGGTTGTAGAGCACCCACCACTATTTTCTTCACTCCCAACTCTTTTATGCGAATCAGATTCATCGTTGTTTGGTTAACCACTGAGACCACGAAAGATTCTAAACCCTACACTCATACATGCAAACTATTGTCATTGTTAATATCACAATCTTTAATAACATACTTTCTGATAGAGAGAATATTCAAACTGAGTATTTTCATTAGAAAGAGGTTTTTGTAATTTCTAACTACTTTTAAAATGTGTTAGAAAGCGTGAACAAATAAATAAGACATCAAAATTCTTGGGTGTTAGGTGTTACAGTGCTAAATTATTTATAGTATGGCTTTTAAGTATTAATGTATTTTTGTGCTTTTTTTCCTTGGGCTTTTATTACAATTTGATATCATTGCGCCTAAAGTAAAGGGCCATTTACTTGTCAAAATAGTATATACCGAATACCTAACCCACCTAAAGCTTTATTGGACCCAAAAGTATAGGAAATGTGAACAGGTTGGGCCTTCTGTTATGTTTTAAATTATTTTCCATTTATTTAATCTTTTATATTTTTGTCTATGAATAACAAGGAAAGCTTTTCATATGGTTTTTTAATTTTTAATTTTTTTATAAAATTTCGAAAGCAACAAAAATTCCCCCCAAAGAAAAACCCTTTAGGAAAAAAAACTTCCCCCATTTTAGTACTAGACCTGATTTTTCCAGATCAGAATTTGACTTCCGAGTAGCCGAATTTTGTGAGTGTTTTTTTTTTTTTTAAATATTCAACCAAAAGCAAAAAAAAAAAAAAAAATCAGGTCAGAACATAATTCTGGAAAAGTCAAGACCTTCTTCTCCGGCAACAATAAACAAAAACACTGGAAGAAATCAATTTTTCGGAAACATGAAAAAACAAAAAGGTCTAAGGTAATTAAAATGGGAATGGGTTTGGTTGGGGAAAATTTTGGAAAAGATTTTTTTTTGGGATAAAATCTCACAAGCCAACTTCCCACAATGAAATATACACTACTAGAAAACTAGTTTTTTTCTGCCAATTTTTTTTGCAAAAAATTGTTTAAATTTATAGAAAACTTATTTCTTGCAATTTTTACCAAAATTTTGCAAAAATATTCAGTGATATATATATATATATATATATATATATATATATATATATATATATATATATTCGACACAAAATACTGCTGATCTAATTTGAAAGACACGCTGAAATTTTTGTTTTCTTAGAAGGAAAATAAATATCGAAAGTGAAAAGTTTATGAATAAGAAAGTGGAATGAGTTTGTTTACCTGAGAGCCATTTGTTTGCATGAAACGACTGTAGTCATTTCCAGCGACAGAAAGAAGGGCAACTGAGTTGGTGAGATCCAAGGCAGAGTACACTTTGTCTTTGATGAGCTGCTGCAAGAAATCGATCTGGGTTGTCATGTTTGGGAATGGAACCAACGTGTTAAACACACCAGTTCCACCAAACGCAAAGTTCATCCCATATTTCACATGTTCTGGTATCACTTTTCTGTATCTGTAGGGAATTGGTGATTTCACTTTCAAATACTTAGCTGCAACACAACCACACCTGCTTTTGTTATAATATGTTTGGTTTAAAGTTATACACCTATTTTTTACCAATTCCAGTATAAAATCATACATTTCTTAAGTGGTTTAAGATTCTTTTCTTAGGTGGGTGAGCCAATAACAACTATTGATTATTAAAGAAATGAAAGAAAGTGTTATAGCAGCAAATACTTTGTTTTTAGAGTTGAGGTGTAATCCTGGTAAAGTAATACAACACTTTTACTTTTATTAACAAAGCTGCACAAGTGTAGATCAGAACCACTAGTGATAAATAATTAGTATTTGACCAAAGAAATAATGATGGAATATGCATCTTACATACCAACCCTTTTTCCATTCCATAAAACAAACCAACCCCGAGTGATTACTCTAGTGGAATAGGAGCACTGAATGTTAAAGCAATGATTACTAATAGTAATAATAAGGCAAAAGTGTATGCATCAAAAGCACGGTATCACGCGAGATAGTAAAGAACATGCCACAGATAATTCGGATATGAAAAAGCGGGATAAAATGCAGTTCCAACGCGACATAAAAACGGAAAAGAGAGTGAAAAAAGGAATTGAGATAAAGTGACATGTTGCAATGTAACATAAGCACAATAAAATTAATGCAGCATTTTAATGGCAAAAAAGAAGAGCAAAAGGTCAGAATCAATAAATAGACAATAAGCACGACAAAAGGAAAAGTGGGAGGCCAGCAGAGAAATGAACCCCACCTCAGTTCAATTTCTATAAAATAATAATAGTTTAGTCTAGCAAAACAGTGTTACAATATATGATAATTTGAGTGAAATGAAACAAAGCAGGTCTAAAAGCAAAAACTTTTGAAGAGAAAGAAAGAAAAGCTAAAGATAAAAAGAAAAGCTGAAGAGTTGATGATAGTTGAGAAGTGTTGAGTTGCACATACCAATGTAATCGGTGAGGACTCTACCGTCGGAAAATCTGCCGGAGGGCTTCCCGGGAAAGGTGATGCCATAAGGGTCTTTCCATGATTTTGAAACAGCTTTCTGAATGTTACCTGTGTCGGCATACGAGTCTCCGAAAACGAACAACTTTGCTGGACCATGATGATGAGGATGATGATGATGATGATGGCCAGCCTCTGTTTGCAACACCCTTTCCCCTGAAATAATCAATTTTGAGATTCTCATCAGTTAAGAAATACCCCATAGAAGAAAAAAAGGAGGAACACAGAAAACAATGGAAACATTTGTTTATGCTTATATTATGTTGTTATACCTGAGAGAAACACAATGAAGAAAAGAGTGAGAAGAGGAAAGAGTTGGTTATGGAAGTTCATGATGAAGAAGTGTGAGGAAAATTTGGATAGAGAAGCTTGGTTTTGATGGTAGGGATTGTAAGAGGAGAAGAGGTATGTGGTAGCACTTGTTTGGTGTATACTATTACCTAGAGGTGCGGGAAGAAAGTGAAGAGAAAAACTAGACCTGCGTTTTAATTTTATAGGGAGTGAAGCCAAGCTAAAGCAATTTTTTTTTTCTTTCCTTTTCTTTGCTACACGGTCAAATTTACTTTTACGATTATTAACTTATAGGTTTTTGAAAATTGTGTGTTTAACTATGTTTTGTAAAGAAATCAATTTTAATTTATGGTCAGTGAAAAATCTTGTTAATGGTTATTTAAAAAGTTAATTATTATAAAAATAATAAATTCATGATATACGATAATTTAAAATTGAATGATAGTTTATTTTAATTAAATTCTTTTTGTAAATATTATTTGCTAGTTTTTATTTAAGTACTTTCGAGAGGTGTATAACAATCATTGTGTGTATTTAGGAATAATTTAATCCATGAAAAACAAAAAAAAACTTGTATAAATAATTGTCTTAACAAATAAAGGCAATATGTAAGAACGCGTGTGCCGTGTGGACCTTGACCAAAAAATTAAAATGTTGTGCACGTGCTAAACTTAGTTTAAACCAATTAAATGGTGTTAAAACTTGATCCATAATGTAAAACGTGATTTCTCCATTTTCAAACAAGGAGTGACTCTATTTTCGCAACTCTTATCTATCCCAATGAATTTGGTAAATTTTGTTTCGTTTCAATCCAATGGCGTGTGGTGGCAAATGCCAATTCATGTTTTAAAGATATTATATCATAAATAACTAAAACTAAAAATATTTAATAAAACTATTTTTATGTTAAAAATATTAAATCATTTAATATCTTTCTTTTAAATAGTACATAGAAAATATTTAATGAGGTATATTAGACGTTCTTTACATATTATTCTTACTTTTTATTTGTTATTTAAGTTTGTAATACACAAATTAATTGTGCTATCAAGTGCTTTGGAATGTACTTAAGATTGGAGAATATAAGGAAATTTCGATATAAAAATAACTACAGTTGAGATTTATGACTATAATTAACAGTTTTGATGTTTCAAAAATATAATAAATAATGGTGAGAATTCATATAAAAAAACATGTTTCCAAACGTAAACTTAGATTTTTAATATACGAGTTATTCTACTACTAATTTTTTACATTTTTTTAAACTATTTAAATGATAAAAAAATTATTTATTACCATTTTTATAAAAAAATTTAAAAAATATTCTCATGAAATATAAAAATTTCTAGTAATCATGTAAAAATTATCGATAATGTTCTTGATATTTTTGTTATCATTATGATATTCCTTTCCGTCATCGTATTTTTCATTTTATTGATAAGTGTAAAAATAATAATATAACTAAAAATAACAATTGACGACATATTACATTTTAAGCTAATAAATAAATATTTTTTAAAGGTTAATAGAAGTTACATATGTTACATTTGAGTTAACAGAAAAATATTTTTTTCTTTTAAAAGATAAGAAATTCTCTTTCGGAATTAATTTTCATTGGTAAATGCAAAAATATGAGTATAATAAGAACATCTCTTTTTAAATAATTTACTTTATTTTTAAGCAATTGAAATATGAGATTTATAATAAAGTATTTAATTTTATTCCTAAATAGTTTTGGTAGCAATTTCCTATTATTCCTAAAAATATTTTTTAAACTAAAATATCTGTGGCTTAACTCTAATTAAACCATCAGGATTTGATTTTACCATGATATTTTCAGCTCACTTAAGACCGTAATCAACTTCAATTAAAATATCTTTGACTTTACTTAAAATATCATTAACTTAATTTTTAGTTCAACATATTTTGGTCGACTTTGAGAGAGTTAGTTAAGTCTAATTTTTAAAATTGGTTTTAAGTTAAAATAATTTTAAACTGAATTTAAAACTAAAATTATTTTACAACATAAATTGATTTTACGCTAAATTTAGAAAACTTAAACTAATCTTATCCAATTAAATTAACACATATTGTATTCCAATACATTTAGTTTAATTTGGGTCATTTTTGTAAGATCCGACCCGTGTAATAAACTCCCTTCAGAGTGACATTCGATGTGGGCCATAAAGATTGGCAATTAAATGTTAACTAAAGGTGTAGAAACAAGAAATTGGAAGAACAGAAAATGAAAAAAAAGTGAGGGATTTTAAAAGATTTGAGAGGTAAAAGAACAAGTATATACATCATATATATATCGCAATCACTTCTATTTTTACACTTACAAGTTTTACAACTGATAACTTTGATTTTCTTTCATTCTTGAGTGTTGACATACACTACAAATATGAAAAAATCATCAGAAGGAGATTGAGGCATGCAGTATCATGCTTCATGCTTCCACTCTTGTTCTTACCATAGCATCATGAACGAAACTCAGACATGAGAGGCTTTTCTTTACGTAAGAAAGAACCTCTTCCTCGTGTAATCTTTTTCAAGAAACAAATCGGTTCATGAAAGGGTTAATTTTGATAACAAGGCCAGGGAATACATCATCCGGGTCCTGAATATGAGGATTCTCTTCAACAATATATGGATCCCCACACTTTTCACTTATTGTTTGCAGAGTCTCTCCTTCACGAACCACATATATCTCATCGCACGCCATGTTGGTACTCCTCATCAGCATCTCAACCCTCTCCTCGTTTGTGCTTGACTCGCAGCATCTCAACGCTAGCACTGCTGCCACAAAAACAACATAGCACCACCATATCTTCTCTGACATTGCTGTTCAGAACGCACACATAAGCCACTGTTCAACACCCTTATGATATTTGTGTGCTAAGTGCAGTTATCATATATGTTTAAAAGAGATATATATAGTTGAACATAACTTAGAAGCCTTATATACGAGGAAAGAGTTGACTTTCGATGGTTGTTGAAGTGGGAACGGAAGTGGGAACGGAAGTTGGAATGGTTCCTTCAGCGAACAATGATAGTTTGTTTAGCTGCTTTGTTTAATGACATTGTTTTTTTTGACTTTGCTTGTTTCAGCTCTATTTGTGCTTGCTTACTCTCTTATTCATGAATAGTTTCAATTGTGATATCTTTTATTAGTAATTTTTATTTTAAAAATAATGATAATGAGTGAAAACTTCATCATATAAATAAATCCCTTAATATTGTTTTAAATATATTATTTTAAATAATATATTATGTATGAATAATAAATAGAGAGAGAGAGGAGAGACTTACACTGATTGCCTACACAGAATAACATATTTGTTAAACATGAAAATAAAATAAAATAAATCGAAAGAATAGATCGAACTTGGTTGAAAATCGAATGGTTAGAAGGAATAAATGCGGTAATTGATAAAGGTGTATTATCGACGTAGAAGAATAGTTAGGATTGAATTTTTCGAAAAAAAAGATAGCATATTGACAAATTGGGAATCAAGAAATTAAAAGTGAAAAATATTTAAAAATTAAGAATCAAAGATTTAAAGTCAACCAGGATATGTCCGGGAGGAAGTTATATGAAAAGATCTTCCATGGTACATAGAAAGATCGATGAAGACCGTTAAGAAACAAGTTATGTGGAATATGCAAATTACAAGTAAACATGTGTCAGTAGTGAAATAGTTACAAGAAGATAATTTTTTGAAGATTCTAAATTGTAATTTTTTATTTTTATTATTATTATTATTATTTTTATGATTGCTTTAGCGATTACAAAAAAAAAAATATATATATATATATATATATATATATATAGAGGATAAAAATAAAGGTAAATACGGTTATTATTAAATTGTATAACTTACATTCTGATCTGGAAACAAACATTTTCAATGGAGTTGCAATTTGGATGGTCACTTTCGATGATTTTCTCCATCAATTTTTGTTTTATCCTTGGTAATGAGTTAAATTTATTTTTATGCTATTTAATTTCCTACATATTTATTTCTCAGTAATTTACATTTACAGTTCTTTATTATTCTTGCGAGTTATCTTAAATGTTTCATATTATATTAAATATAAAAATTGAATGTCAAATATCTTTAATCGAAATTCACTGTGTATTGAACTTTCAGTAAAATTAGAAGAACCCACATAATGTTTAAGTAATTCAGTGCGTAAATTGTATTACTTGTATCAAAAAACGAGTTATGTACACTAGAAACAAATTGGTACACTTGGTGGGAGACATTTGTTATAATAGTGCATGGTATCAAGAAGTGGTAGAGTCATAGTGACAAATCATAATTCACAAATTTCAATACCAAACTCTATGGTAATACCCAATGTCAATACTAATGAAAGTGAAAACGTGAGCGGAAGTGAAATGGTTTAGAGCAAAGGAAGTCAAGATGGTCAGGAACCTATTCAACAAACACATAATACTAGTAGATGATCACATATGAATAGTGGGAACACATCAGCAAATAGGAATAATCAAAGAATTCCAATAGCGAAGGGATATCCTTGGGGAATGCCAACATGATAACCAACCCCAAATTCTAGTAGGATGAATCATCGAGGTCAAGATCACTTGAGATTGGGAAATAATGATAGGGAGAATAATAGAAATAGTCAAGGTGATTCTAATAATGTGAACATTGGAATATCAAATAATATGTTAGGGGTTATAAGACAACAAATGAACGATAGTAATCATGCAATGGTCAATATTTTATCCCAACAAATGACTGTTATTTTAAATTCATTAGTACAAATAATTGTTGATAGTTTTCAAAGGTTAGCAAAGCAAACGGTAAGAATAAGAGATGCACTTGCGATCCCTAGGAGGAATAACATAATAAATGATGATATGCCAACGAGAAATAATCAACAAAATGAACCCCTTGAAAGACAAAACAATGATAATCAAGATATGCGAAAAAACAATGGTAATTGACAGAGAGATGTGAGGATAGTCAATAGAGGTTAGGATGCATATCAGATTTTGCATGTTTGGGATAATACAAGGAATTAAAATAATAGTGGAAATTATCAACAAAAATGCTTATAATCAAGTAATCAGGCATTGAAACCAGTCGAATGAGGGAATGAGATTGTATAATCAACCATATTTCATTTCTCCTTTTCCTGATTTTGTGTTAGAGGAAGAGTTGCCTAGAGGACAGAAAATCCCAAAATTTACAAAGTTTGAGGGTGGTATTGGAGATTCTATAATCCAACACATAGCTAGGTATCAAATTGAGTGTTGAAACTTTTTAACAAGTGAAAGTTTAATGATAAATACTTTCCAAGCTCTTTGACAAAGATTGTTTTTACTTTGTTTAATACTTTGCCTTCGAATTCTATGTTTAATTGGCACAATTAGAAAGAAATTTTCATGAGTAATTTTTTAGAGGAGAAACCCAAGTTAGTTTGATTGATTTGACAAGTGTGAAAAGATATCATAATGAAAACATAGACGATTACTTGAATAAATTTAAACAAATACGATCAAGATGTTTTACACAAATCCCTGAGAGAGAGGTAGTGAGAAGGGCAGCGACAGGTTTAGAGTTCTCAATAAGAAAGAAGTTAGTAAATACGCTCTCGAGAGATATGACATAGTTAGTGGATAAAGTTCGGAGAATCGAATAAATTAGATATGAGAAAGAAAAGTATAATAAATTCAGTAATGTGGTAAAAATAGATAAAATTGGAAATGTTGGATTAGATAATTTTAAAGAATTGTCGAATATTGTAGAAGAAAATGAGGAACGAAAATTAAGTGAAAGTGATGAGGAAATAAATGTAGCTGAAATCAAAATTGGTCCTCCTTATGTATGTAAGTTGTTACAAAAAAGTGAAGTTTTTGATAAAATGGCAAACCAAACTTATAGTTTCATTGTAACAAAGGTAAATAAGATTTTTGATATTCTATTAAAAGACAAGCAAATAAAATTGAGTGAGGATCATAAATTGTCTTCTTTAAAGCAGAGGAGAGGCCAGAAATATTACAAGTTTTGTAATATATATGGATATTTGACTAATAATTATATTTATTTCAGGAATACCATACAGGATGTTATTGAACAAGGTAGATTGAAATTTGAAGAGAAGTCAATAAAGGTGGATATTGATCCTTTCAAGGCTCATGTGGGGTACGTGGAAGTCAAACTTAACACTACTTGATGGTGTTGAGAATTTGGAGAATGATTTAGAAATTTATATGGTGGACATCACTGCAGAAGATATCAACCCACGACATGTTAAATTAGATGATGATGAAGCTGAGTTTGAATTAGAATTAAAGGATTTTGAAATAGAAAATGAGATATATCCTAAGGTAGAGGATATGTTGGCTGATTTTTTTATTCGTAAGAAAGAAAAAGATGAAGAAGTAGCATTATGTCCAAGATGTAGTGCGGTATTCAATAAAGTTATGGAAAAAAAGCTCAAAGAGAACCATAAAGCAAAGAGTAATGAGAAGCAAAAACAAGGAGTGGAATGTGTTAGTATTATGGTGCTTGATTTAGTCCCACATCGATTAGGATTGTGAGATGAGGTTCTCTATTTTGTTATATAAGCAACCCTATGTAAAGTTTGAGATATACACAGAAATAAAAATACTTCCTAGTGTAGTCGTGGACGTAGGCATACATATTTTAGCCGAACCACGTTAAAATTCTTGTGTCGTTTATTTTTCTCTCCTTCATTCTTTCCTTTATTATTGTCTTGTTCCTAACAATTGGTATCAGAGCCAATTTTCTTAGTATGCTCTGTGGTTGCAGCTTTGTCTCGATCTTCCACATCGAGAAAGATTTGGTCTTTTTTCTTGGGAATCTCGGTTTAGAGAAGCAGTGGGAGCTTTCTTCGAAAGCGGTGAGAGCAATGGCATTGGAAGAAGGAAAGGTGAGGATCGAGAAGTTCGATGGCGGTGACTTCGGATTCTGGAAGATGCAGATGGAAGATTATCTCGTATCGAGAAGAAGTTGTATCTACCCTTGACAGGCGGAAGCCAACCGACATGGAGCGATCAGAATGGGAGTTGTTAGATCGGCAGACGCTTGGTGTGATCCGGCTGACATTAGCCAAGAATGTTGCGTTCAACATCATGAACGAGAAGACAACCATAGATTTGATGCGGCGTTGTCAAATATGTATGAGAAGCCCTCTGCAGCCAATAAAGTGCATTTGATTCGCAGGCTAGTCAACCTCAAAATGGGTGAAGGTAACTCGGTTACTAATCATATTAGTGAATTTAATGCAATTATTGCGCAGTTGACATCAGTGCGAGATAATATTTGATGATGAGGTGAAAGCATTAATTTTATTATCATCTCTACCGGAAAGTTGGGGTGCAACTCGTTACTGCAGTAAGTAATTCCGCAAGCAATAACAAGTTGAAGCTTGATAACATCCGTGACTTGATCTTAAGCGAAGATGTTCGCAGGAAAAATTCGAGTAGAATCTTTCGGTTCTAATTTAGGTTCAAGCATTGAGTACTGAAACTAGAGGAAGAAGTCGCCGAAAGGTCGTAATCAAGGCCGAGGCGAGATCAAAATCCAGAGGGAGATCACAAGCAAAAGTCCGGAATGATATCACTTGTTGGAATTGTCAGAAAAAGGGCCACTTTTCAAATCAGTGTAGGGCTCCAAAGAAGGACAACAACAACAACAAGAAGCAAGATGATGATCAATCGAGCAAATGCAACGAATCTGATGAAGTTGAAGATGCACTCGTTATGTAGTTTAGATAATTCTATTGACTCATGGATTATGGACTCAGGTGCGTCATTTCATACTACACCTTCCTTAGAACTAT